CTCTCTCTCTCTCTCTCTCTCTCTCTCTCTCTCTCTCTCTCTCTCTCTCTCTCTCTCTCTCTCTCTCTCTCTCTCTCTGCCTCTCACTTTATCTCTCTTTCTCTCTCTCTCTCTCGCTCTCTCTTTCTTATACTCACTCTCCCTCTCCCTCTCACCCCTCTCTCTCTCTCTTTCTCTTTCGCTCTCCCTCTCTCAGCCATAACCCTTTGAGACCAGTTTTCACGCACAGTATGAATAGTTTTAATTCGGTAATGATTTGTTTGCAAAATGATTACGTAGTGGGGAGAGTGGGTGCTTTGTTTCGCGGTAGTTCTGACCAAAAATTAACAAAGTGAAAATACCAAAAGAGTGACGTAACGTGAAGTTAATTAGGGAAATCATTTAATCCGTGTTTGTTTACGCATAAAAAGAAATTCTATCCTCTCAATTTTCTGTTATTTTTACGTTCCAATTGGCACACCATTGCCGCGTTGTGGGTTACCATAAAGCACGACTGGAGAAGCGAGAGGGGGAGAGAGAAAGAGAGATGGAGAGAGGGGGAAGGGAGAGAGAGCATGCGAGAGAGAAAGCGAGAGAGCGCGCACGCGAGAGAGAGTGAAAGTGAGAGTGAGAGTGACAGAGTGAGTGAGTGAGAGAGCAAGAAAGAAAGAGAGAGCGAGATAGAAAGAAAGCGAGAGACAGCGCGCGCGAGAGAGAGAGGGAGAGGGAGGGGGATTGCGAGACAGGGTGGAGACACTGTTGGATTCCTTTCTATCAGGGGAATGCAGCACCGTCTGTGCATGCACAGACAGGGGTAGAAATTAACTTAAAAAGAGGGAGTCCGCAGCAAAATGAGGGAGTCCGCAGTCTGAAGTTCAAAACTAAAGATATTAACAATAATGGATGTGCTTATTTTGAAGATTCATGCAGTTGCACGTCTGCCAAATTCTCTTTGGACATTTTGCTGAGAAAATACGGTAATTCCGCGAGGCCGTGCTCCGGAACGAACTTGTTAGTATATAGCAGAATTTCCAGCGAGTCACACGGACTCCTGCATATGTCAAATCAGGGAGTCAGACGGTAAATCAGGGAGTATTTGACTCCGGACTCCCGTTAATTTCGCACCCTGATAGAGCTGCACGTTTTCTAGGTGACCCCTACCCAACAGATTCCAGTATTCCCAAAAGAAATCAATGCGCTAACGTGTTGTTGACGATCTGTCTCTTTGCGTGATTGCAGGCATTGTCGCCGTGCTGGCCATGGCACTGGCAACACTTGCCGGCGGGTGGCTGGTCAAGCGCTTTCGGCTGGAACCTCGAGGAGTGATGGTGTTGGTGCTCAGCTGCGCTATCGTGTGGTCGCTAGGCAACCTCATACTCATGGGCATCGGCTGCCCCAACGTGCGCTGGGCAGGAACCATCGAAAACAACATGTGAGTATATAGTTATCTATCTCTCTCGAGTTCGACTATCTCTCTCTCTCTCTCTCTCTCTCCCCCCCCCATCTCTCTCTCTCTCTTCCCCCTAACTCTCCCTCTCTGTCGATCTCACTCTCACTTTCACTCTCTCTCTCTCTCTCTCTCTCTCTCTCTCTCTCTCTCTCTCTCTCTCTCTCTCTCTCTCTCTCTCTCTCTCTCTTTCTCTCTTCCTCTTCCCTCTCCCTCTGTCTCCATATTTATATATATATATATTATTAAGTGTTTAAATGGGAAAAACAGGCCTATATATTGCGCCTAAATATAGATTTCCTTGCGATTAAATTGTGAAACAGGCCCTCGGTGGTTGAACTTAGAAGCTAGGTGGCTGAACTTAGAAAATAACGACTGTTCTATTTATACTCTCGATTATTGTGAAATGCTTTTAAAATTCTTGAGAGCTAGAGAAAGTCGTGCGATGGATGGATGGTATTTATATCGCTATGCGTGTTTTCATTAGGATAAACTTCATCGTAATATAAGAATTTTATATTATTATCTCGGGCATGTGCCTGCGCCATGATTGCGGTTTATTCTGAATGTGCACAGAACAGATAATAGAATTACTTAGTTTTAGTACTAAAGTTCAGCAGTGCGCGCATAATTTAAGAGAAATACAGTGCTTCTCTCGTCTAGTACTTAGTGTGGTCTGCATGCTTTATCGAAAGTAACAGAAAATGATTTTACGTCGATGTACGAATTACAGATAATAAATCTAGTAAACCGGGAGTGACTGTATAAGAACCTGCACAAATAACCCCTCCCCGCTCATTTAAACGTATAATGTACACATGCACGCACGCACACACACACATACGCACACACACGCACACACACACGCGCGCGCGCTCACACATTCACATACCTGACACGCACACGCGCACGCACGCACGCACGCACACACACACGCACACTCACATACGCGCACACAAACGCAAACACATATATATATATATATATATATATATATATATCAAGAGTACATAATATAGATATGATATATATATGATACTATCATATATATAATGTATCGAATATGATTATAACTATATATATATATAAAATATAATAGTAATATATATATATATATAATATATAGATATAACTATATTAAGATATAATAATATAAATGATATGCATTATATATGATATGCAGAATTGATAAGGACATATATATATATATCAAACACACAAGATAATTTCGGCTTGTTGAGAGACAGCGGCAGAAGACGGTTCTCGCAGTATATTTAGATTGCGTATATACCGGTATATATACGCGTGCGAAATATGCACACAGTTTGTGTTCAGCCCCATCTGTCATGATCGGCTGCCGTTCGATTTTCGCAATTTTTTCGTCTGACAAATGTTCTGGATTGTAAAACCTGTTAGAAAGGACGTCGTTTTTCGCTTCCGAATTCAAATATTTTCTCTCGAAACATTCTCCATATATATTGCTATCAGCGCAATTAACTCGTTTCGGGTGTTAAGTGAACTCAGATGGTGACTGCCATGGGAAACAGACAAAGCTGTCTTGGATTTATTAATGACGTAATGATTCGGCATTTACCAAGTAAGGAAATAATGAGCTGTATATAATCACAGTTAAAGTTTCTAATTATTAACTCCCATCGTGAGTTAATTATTAAATTAAAATTTTTACATTTTTGTATATATATTTCTTCTATGTAACGTGGTAGGTAACCATATCTATTAGGCAAGGATGTTTAATGTTGTAGAAGTGACATAGCTTTGATCCATTCGTAGCAGACCGCGCTGCCGTTACACTTGCTAGGCAGTTGTTTAGATGTTTAGTTTTAGAACTTTGTTTACCTTCTGCTATGCAGTGCAAAGTTTCTTAATACGTTGACTGACACTATAGTTGAATATATGCTCCCTGGCTGCTGGTCTTCCATGGTGCTTAGTTTAAGTACAGCCTTGGTAAGTTGGTGTCTCCTACTCGTTGGTTGAATTTTGCTCGGTAAATGATAATACACAGACGCAGACCACACAAACGGCGCATAACACACACACCGCCACGCGTGCACACCTGCACACACACCGCGCATGCACACACACACACACACGCACACGCACGCATAGCACCTGCCACCGCACGCACATGGGCATTTACGCACGCGCACACGCAGACACAGGTAGACGCACCCACATACACACATGCGCGCATGCACTCACGCACACACAGGCACGCACGCACGCACGCACGCACGCACGCACGCACACACACATACATTTGATGCCGGATACTTCTGTTGCATCATTGCACGGCTGAATATGTAAAAATCCTACACGAGCTCCTTGTTCACACGATTACAGTCTCTACTCACGTGTGATGTTATCCGACATATCTTAATAACCTTCTCGCAATTTTCATGTACATACACACACACTTTGAATTTAAAATAGTAATCTAATACCATCACCTGTTTAGCAGGACAGACGCGCACAATGTTTCTGCTTGCAATACATGCATTACCAACAACCCACTCCTCCGCACTCCGACACACCTCTTACATGAGTAATTCAGAGTAGTTCAACAAGTGTTAAATTGCGTACACACTAACGCAGACACCGGTTGACTTTTGTCAATGCAGCCTCACACTATGATTCCATTTTAAACTCGCAGCCTTTCTAACTAAACTTGTTCGTGCAACGGCTGGCATGTTGTATTGCTGCTGAATTATTTTCTAATTCGCATCTACTTCAAAAAGCTATATAGATGTTACTAAACCGTCCTTCCTGTTCGTTGTGCACAGTAGATTATACAGAGCAAGCATAAATACCAGAAAAGGTAAAGACGTGAGATGTGATGGTCAGGAAATGGCGCGAAATTTCACAGTCGGGAACGACCCTCTGGAATACTCGGGAACGACCCTCACAGTCGCAGCCCTCTGGCGACGTAATCTCGCAGCATTCTATCGTTTTTGCTGCCGCGCTGACCGCTGCCGGTGATACATTGAAATAATACAAATGATTGGCCTTTTCCAAATAAGCTCCCAATCATGGCGAGAATTTGTGGGGAGCAGCCAGCCTATATAGGTTGCGAGGAAACTCGTTAACTACATAAGCGCACCGCGCGCTCAATCGAGGGTCCGGGATTCGTGTTCTTCGATACCCCCGCATGATTTGGTAGTTAGTGGCCACCTCTCTCTTTCTCTCTCTCTCTCTCTCTCGCACGCGCTCGCTCTCTCTCTCTTTCTCTCTCGCACGCGCTCGCTCTCTCTTTCTCTCTCGCATGCGCTTGCTCTCTCTCTGTCTCTCTCTCGCGCGCACGCGCACTTTCTCTCATTCGCTCTCTTTCTCGCGCGCACTTTCTCTCTCTCTCTCTCTCTCTCGTTCTCTCTCTCTCTCTCTCTCTCTCTCTCTCTCTCTCTCTCTCTCGTTCTCTCTCTCTCTCTCTCTCTCTCTCTCTCTCTCTCTTGGTGCTCTTTCTCTCTCTCTCTCTCTCTCTCTCTCTCTCTCTCTCTCTCTCTCGTTCTCTCTCTCTCTCTCTCTCTCTCTCTCTCTATCCCTCTCTCTCTTTCTCTCTCTCTCTCTCTCTCTCTCTCTCTCTCTCTCTCTCTCTCGTTCTCTCTCTCTCTCTCGCTCTCTCTCTCTCTATCCCTCTCTCTCGTTCTCTCGCGCTCTCTCTCTCTCTCTCTCTCTCTCTCTCTCTC